AGAATGACGTTACAACTACGATGACTTATATCCAGACGGTCCAAAAAAAAACTAATGACAAATAAACTTGTAAGACAGTGTGAGGGGGCAAATTAATGGGAGCAATATACTTGTAGTACGAGATTTGACTGCAAAATTGTGCATTCATCGAGTGTTTGCTGAAAATGCAAAATTTGCCAAATTTTTACGAATATTTATGATTAGGAGAATATATATCTACTAAGTTGCCTATCAAAATGTGGCCGCTAATAATTTTAATTGAATTATTGCTAATTGATTTTTCGGAAAAATTTCATTTGCTTGTTTTTAAATAAAATATCGTGCACTTCACGGCAATATACATAAAAACTTTGAAAAAACACGTTTGCCGTTGCGCACTTGGTCGCACTTCTGAGCAGCCAGGTATAAACAGGTATGATTTTGATAGATTTTTATTTATAATTTTTCTCTTTATTATAATATACGGTTGCTTAATTAAATCTGGCCGCAGATAAGGGTTGCTGGCTGTCAATGATGCTAAATATTTGAGATAGAGTGACAGAGAGCTAGCGCGTAACATCACTAGTCAGACGAGGATAGCGATTGCTAGCTGTACGACGCTTCAGAGCGTCGTTTTCTCAACTGAAGAGCTGTTGTTGAGAACACTAGCATTCGACGCATGCGCAATGGCATTGAAGCGTTGTACACTTGGCAACCGCTATCCTCGTCTGACTAGTGATGTTACGCGCTAGCTCTCTTTCACTCTATTTTAAATATTTAGCATCATTAACAGCCAGCAAACCTCATTTGCGGCCAGATTTAATTAAGTACCGTATACCATAATAAACAGAAAAAATTTATTTAATTTGATATATAAATAATAAATGTACGTTATGAACGTATAAATGTATCAAAATCATTACTATTCACACCTGGCTGCGAAGAGGTGCGGGCAAGTTCGCAACGGCAACCGTGATTTTTCTTGAGTCTTTAGCTATATTGCCGTGAAGTGGACGATATTTTATTTAAAAAACAAGCGAATTAAGTTTTTCCGAAAAATCAATTAGCAATAATTTAATTAAAAATATTAGCGGCCACATTTTGATAGGCAACTTGGTAGATATATATTCTCCTAATCATAATATGCGTAAAATTTGGTTTTTAGCAAACACTCGATGAATGCACAATTCTGCAGTCGGATCTTAGACTATTGGTGAAACCACACCAGTGAAAGTACAACAAAAGTATTAAGGCCTAGCTTAGGGAAATTAGTTGTAAAATATTAAAAGAACAACTTAATCAAGCACATTTATTTATGTTTGATCAGCCGTTTATGTATGGTACTACAAAATAGAACGAAAAAATAGCAACTTCTGCTTGTTGAAAAGAGCGTTAGGGGAGGAAGTCAACGCTTGCCGTGTAATATGCTTGTACGTGTAATATGCATGTGTGAGTGATTTCAGCACAAAATCGTATTTTAAACAAGATTTTGAACGTTTAGGCCTTATTAGCCGACAGGCTTGGTGGGAATTTACAACTGAAGGAATGCAATGCTGAACAGAGATAGATAGGGGCAAGTTGTCTAATATATTTGAGAGAATTCTCTGCAACAGATGGCAATCGTTCTAAATATTCATGTTTATTGAAATGGAATATTTTTAATGTTTAAATATTTTTTCTCTGCTACATGTTTTGGTTGTTCTGTATCTCCAAATTGAGTAGTTTTTCAAAAGCTAATCATTGAAGCAACATTTTTACATAAGTTCATGGAAAAAGTGTATAAATTTCAGCTGCCAGTTCAATAAAGAACTGGTGTGGTAACTTCATAATACCTTCGTCCTCATTATATATCCATTTCTATCAAACAAATATTACAAACTACTTTAATCTTAATTTGTTTTCTTTTTGTACGGTTCATCATAGCTCAATTTCCGAGGAACGGTCTTTCGTATTCCACTAACTGTAACGTAAAATACTTGTATAAAGTTAACAATGCCAGATAAAAAATTATTGGCATGGTTGGGGAAGCAAAACAGCAGTGTTGCATGACCGGCACTTCCGTCCCAGCGAGCCTTGACTGTAAAAACAAAAACCGCATGCGCCATTGCCCGACCGACGTTGAACGAAACATTTGAATAACTCCGTTAAAGGTGGATATCTATTTTATTTACTAGTTGGTGTGTTCTGTTATTTTCTAGTGAAATATTAAGTTTTCCTTCGGTGCATTTCAGTTTGTAAGTAGAAAGGATGTTTGATCGATAAGGAATAGGAATATAGCGAATCTAGAACGACGTCTCAGTGAATTCAGTCGCAATGCGCATTTTACTTGATTCGTTGTTACCTTGGAACTAGTTTTTCGTAAATTAACGTAATGATTGTTAATAGGTCATAATTATTCGCCCAATTTGCTTTGCCTGTTTGGTTTCTAAGTATTCCCGACAAAATTGCATTTTTCTATTATTTTAATATTTTAAACTCACCTTCCCAACCGTTTTAGATAACTCAAGTATTTAAAACCCAACTATAATATTTTCGATGGTTAAAATATTGAAACTTAACTTTGTTAATTGTTAACTTTGGGTTTATCATCAGTTCTTTCAACATTCTTGAATTGTAATATTTGGCTTCTGTTTCTATATAATAATCATATTTCACACTTTGGAAAACATATTTCAACATATCGCTTAATTTTAAATTTCAAATCAATGAAGAATTCGTTAAACAGTCGAAAAATTTTTTTGGTGATTCTTTTGATGCTTGATACAAATAACTCGAATAAAATATTATAAAATTTGATTAAATATTTCGGTCCCATTATAAAGTTTCAATTTATTTTAGTTTCACTTTTCACGAATAATATGTTATGCCAAATATGAATTACATAATTATTAGTTACTTCCATTAATAATAAAATGTAGTTTATGCAATGAAGTTTATTGTATTTTCGTACATTTTTTCTTTGAATTGAGTCTTTACATTGACATTTATGAAATAAAATGAGTTCCTTACCCAAAAAATTCATTATTAGATGTCTCTAAATATTGAAATTGATTCATGTCTTTGGTAAATATAGCTGTTTTTCATTGCAAATTGACCAATACTCTACTATATACAATTCTATACTATAGTTGTGGACTATTAAATTTCATACAATTTAGCATACAGTTCTTTCAGTTGGTAGCCTTTACAAGAAAACCACGAATAATTGAGGTTTGAATGACATTTATGGAATAAAGTAATTACCCCCAACATTTATTGTTTGATGTACTAAAATTCATTTAATTTCTCGAGTAAATATAGCTATTATTCATTGCATTTTCAATTTTCATTTTGAAATTTTCTGTTTGAATCACCTCTGAAAATCTATTTAGTAACATATATACTTGTTAGCAATTTCATTACGTAAAATGCTTTAATGAAAGCTTGGGTACACATATTCTTAAAGTGATCAATATTTTGTTGTGGCCTATTTAATTTTTTACAATTCTTAAACAGTTCTTTCAGTTGGTAGTTTTTACAAGAAATACTTGAATATGAACAGTGAGCTTAATTTCGGAAATTATAAAGATTGTTGGTGACTGTTGGGTTCATTTGTCAAAATGCTATTCGTTATCGTCGCTTGCCAAGGTTTGTGCTCTCTGTAACGTTCTCAAATGTGTTGCATTCTCATTATTTTTCCGCATAGGTGACGTCAGATCGTCACAAACACAGTCACAGAGCTCCGCTCGTTACTCAACGAGTGGAATTTACAGAAAAAATATATTTGACAATTCAATTTTCCTTTTTCGTGAAAAATTCGACAATTTCATCATAATTTCGTATATGATACATATATAATATTAATTTGATATTACTATTTCAATTAATTTTAACATCATTTTCGTTAACTTCATGAACTACATCTCATTGGCTTCTGTCGACTACGTGTGACTTTGTAATAGGTAATGTTTTATTTTTAGTTTTTTCCATTCAGTTATTGTTTATTACTTTTTCAATTTATTTCAATTTCTCTTTCGTTGTATATATTCACTCATAGTTTCTCTTTTTTTGTTTCTTTTTCTTTTTTTCTTATTTATTATCATTTGTGTGAAATTTGTTATTTTTTAATATTTTTTCGTTTATTTTTAATTTTTTTAGTTGGGAGTATATCTGTTGGGAATAAATGTATCATTATTATTATTGTTGTGTAATTGTGGCTCAATACATATATTTCATTGTAGTAATATAAAATGACGATTGCCTCCTATTTTTCTTTTGAATATCGTTCATTCGGATACGCTCCATCTATCATCGAAAACTCAATCTGGTAATCACTGACAACATAATACAAGATTTCTGATCAATTTAAAGTTGTTTAATCGATACTGTTCAGGTGGCTTGCAAATTTCTCGATTTTTTACTGACCTGGAACAGTGTCATCAAGTGGTAGTTTGAACAAGAACGAGTTAATCAGTCGTGACTAGTACTTCAGCTGCAACTTATATTAACTATCAGTTTAGACTTTTGTCAACTGATATTTTTCTCTAATTTTATTGAGAATATATAAGTTCAGTTAACCCTTGAAAGCAAGGTGAGTCTTTTAAAAGAAATATTCCGAAATAGATTTCATACAATACGTTAAATTTCATTCGATCTATAGTTACTGAAATTTTCAGGGTTTTTCTTTGGAGCGTCTATCTTTGTCTTTGGACCGTCCTTCGTTTCTTTGTTACAGCTTCCATTTTTTGGGACGATAAATTTTTGGGTATAGCCAATTTTTCGTTACGGACGGCTAATATTTTGTGAAAAATATTGAACCCAACTTTATGTTATGTACATTTTTCTTCGACCGAAAGATAAAATAAGCATCGTTGTTTTTATCGAAGTATTTAAAACCTCCGATACTGTAACCACAACAAAGGCGGGTGAGACTCAAAATAGGCCAGTTGCTTTAATATTTTTTTGCACTAACAATAAGATTCAAAAATTTATTTTTATATTTCGATTACTAACAATAACTAACTTCTTATAGAACTGTGCCGGCCTCAGTGCTTCAGTCGGGAAAACATCCGACTATGGTGCGGTAGGATGCGGGTTCGAGTCCCATAGAAGGCATGGGTGTTTGTGTTTGTCTATAATTTAAATGATTTGATGATGATAATTGTTGGGTAATAAACATTGATTACAAGTCCATTGGTCGTTCGAAACCGGCGTCAAACTGTCCACTGAATTGAAAAAAAACTCCCTATTCAGAATATATTGAAATGTATTATTGAATTATTTATTCGTCAGATGTTTCTTTTGATACAATATACAAGATACAAAAGTCTATATCTTTTCTTGGTTCAAATCAGACCAATTTATTTCGTTTTTCGAAAACCAATTGTCGCCCAAATTCATTTCAGTTTATAAAGTTTTGATGTGTTTTTTTGCGATCCACGACCCATTGTTCATCGGCCAATAGCTGCCTTCGCAGTGCTTAAAAGGACGTAGCATTATTCATATTATTTCAAGTTCGATGGCGATAAGGATATTTTCAGTTGTTTCTGGATTTTCTGGAAATTTTCTGAAAAATAGTCAGTGAAATGCGATATAAAATGTCAGTAAATGATTAGTAATAGTCAGTGAAATGCGATGTAAAATGTCAGTAAATGATTAGTAAATTCAAATAAGGTATCCATGTTCCAATCTCTTCTTGCTTATTTTCAAAAATGAAACTTAAATACATAATTTTTTAATTTTTCAACCGTCAAAAGTTTTACTCGGATGCAAAAGTATCATTTGAAATGTAGGTTACGCGAAAGTTTCATTATCACAGGTTGAATACTTAACATATATGTGAGATTATTGAATTATTCGCAACTCAGTCGTAAAAAGTTTCAAATATTTGTATATCCATCCATTAACAGTTTCACGGTAATTAATTTCTTCATGCAATTGATTCCACTAGAGCAAACAAATCTCAAGGCATTCGACAATACTGAAAATGTTCACTTGATCACCATTGAATTGGTCATTTTAAAAGAATGGAAATATATTTTTCTTACATAGGGTGATTTTTTAATCGTAGTTTTTTTTAAATCGACTAAAACACTGAATTTGCATCATATATTCAACATTATTGTTGAGATTGATAACTTGGCTTTTGCCATTTACATTTTGAATATAACTTCATGTAAATGTTGTCCGCCGCTCCGTTCAAAATGGTCCATTCGGAAGGTCCAATTTGACACATTCCTTATTGCTGAGAACGGCCACGAATTGACATTTCATGATCCTCATCAGCAGTGTATGCTACTGCTGCAATATTCTCTTCAGTACGCACTGTACACATGCGAGACAATGGTTTAATGTCCAACAAAGTAAACTTGGTGCGAAATTTGGTGATAACAGCACGAATTGTTGATTCACCAGGTCGATTATGACAACCTGGTGAATCAACAATTCGTAACATGCGTAATATTCCTTGTAAATCTATGATATAGGGTGATTTTTCAAGCGTAGTTTTTTTTAAATCGACAAAACACTAATTTGCATCATATATTCAAAATTTTTATTGAAATGGATTACTTGGCCTTTGGCATTTACATTCTGAAGATAACTTCATGTAAATGTTGTCCTCTTCGGTCCATTCGGAAAGTCTAATTTGACACATGCCTAATTGCTGAGAACGGCGACGAATTGACATTTCATGATCCTCATCAACACTGTACGCTACGACTGCAATATTCTCTTCATTACACACTGTACGCATTAGAGACAATGGTTTAATGTCCAACAAAGTAAACTTGGTGCGAACAGCACGAATTAATTGCAATTATATATAAGGTATAGTATCATCAGCGAATAAACGTATAAAGCATTTTTAGAAAAAACAATTATCTTTATAAAAACATCGGAAATAATGAAACAAGAATTGAAAAAGACAATAAATATTGACAGAAAAATTGTGATACATGTTCTGGTATATAACGTATATTTAGGCAAAACAAGTAGAAATGTCGGCACCAGAATTGAAGAACACGATTTACATAATATAATAAGTAACCCAAATTATTGAAATTATTCGTTGAAGAGAAATATACTTTTGATTCAAATGTAAATTTCAAAATTTTACAAAATATTCATAAATATATAGAATTAGATTCATTGGAAGTAGTGAAAATAAATAGACTCAAAAATTCTCTGAATTTTTTTGATGTGCAAATGAATGAAATAATTTACCATTGTTCACCCTTTTTATATAAAGAATCTATAGTTCAGTAAGGAAGGCCTTTTAGGTTGACCCTATGAGTTCAAAACCATCTGTTATTTCTAAATACATGTGAAGTCAAATGAATAATTCGGTAACCCGACGGAACGCTTCAAATTATTATACAATAAAAACGCAAATCATAAATTCAACTGTTTGAATTTGTCTTATATGTTATATTACTATAATGAATTTGCACCAAGTAAGTGCCTAAACTATTCAATATCTAAGGTAATTGATACTCCCTTGATAGTGGACCTATTTTTCATTGCCTCTGCACTCGTATTTCGAGCCTGTTGCTTGAAAACTGGAGTATTCCACGTACCGCAAAGTACCTGGAGTACTTTTCGGTTTTCTCGATATGTTTCTGAGTAATGATGCTAGGAATGAACTGCCTAAGTCTGATGCCATACCGACTCCAAACAAATGAGTTTATTAGCGTACAAAATGTAAAGTCCCATAAAAATATCTTAATTTATTGTTTTATCTTCAATTTTATGTTTTATGGTAATAGGAAAAGAACTTCATTTTCTATATTTTGTGTAATGAGCCAGCTTTTTCAGCAAATCATATCTATTTTCACATCATATATCGCAAATCATATCTATTTGAATCAATTTAATTATATGATTTGGCTTGAACACTTTTTGTTTGAAACACGGGTTCCAAAACGAAATATATAGACGAGAAGTCGTATTCTATCGTCAAAAATAAGAAAACACTGAAGATAATATTTTTATGGGAATTTTACCGTTGAAAGCTTTTTTTGTTTCGAGCCCATTTTTGGATCCTCCCATTTTTGTGACGTCAAAACTTAAGCAGTCCATTGCTATTTCCAACGAAGTAGTATTTCTGGGTTCTTCAACAATCATCTCTATTGTACCCAATTGGTATTTTATCTTCTTGAAGTGCATTCATATAATCCTATTAAAATCAATATTTAACAAAAAAACATACAGTATTTTAAATATAAATTGAAATAATCTACACAGGAAAGTGTATATTTTTAATGAAACAAATCTGCATTTCCATCAATTTTTCTAATGGAATCATATTTCACAATAATATTCGTATTTCTGGGTTCTTCAACAATCAGCTCTATTGTACGCAATTGGTATTTTAACTTCTTAAAGTGCATTCATATAATCATATTAAAATCAATATTTGACAAAAAAACATACAGTATTTCAAATATGAATTGAAACAATCTGCACAGGAAAGTGTATCTTTTCATAAAATAAATCTGCATTTTCCATCAATTTTTCTTATGTGTATTTCTTATCATATTTCACAATATTCTATTTCATATTCCACCAAATCATTAACAGTTTACGTTAAGTAGGACACATTACATTAGCTACGAAGAAAAAAGTTATTTCAAAGCACATGTCGTTCCGTAATGGACTATAAAAGTTCGGCAACTTTCACACAAATTCGTGACGTACCTATAGGGTTGATAATGTTGAATCACTGCTAAGGTGAACCTGATTTTCCAGGGGCAATTACGGAAAAGGTCATTAGCTGTCTCCCTTCACTATCGCATTTCTTCCGGCAACTAACCCTAGTAATATTTATAATGATAACAAACGAGAACTGGGAAAGCAGCACCCCAAGCCTAAATTTTTAATCAATACTTCAGCTTGACTCCAACGACCTTCTACATTGATTTGTGTTTGAGTAGACAGGCACAATTTCATAACCAACAAAAATCCGATTTGAGAATTTATGTTCGTAAATTGTGTCTGTTTCTAGTTCGTTTGGTGTATGATTTTCTACTTTTCATGTTCTAAACTGTTGGTTGTACCATATATTCTTTTTAAAAAATTTTGCGAATATATATTAAGAATTTTGAACTATTCTAATTGTTTTTCAATCAGTGGACCTACAGTTTAAGTCCGATTTCGAACGGCCAATGGACTTGTAATCAATGTACCAACAATTATTCAAACAATTACCCAACAATTATCATCTTTAAAATTTCAAATCATAGACAAACCAAGACACCCATGCCTTGGATGGATCGGGGCTCGAACCCGAATATTGTCGAATTTCAGTCGGGTGTTTTTCCAACTGTGCCAAACAGGCCTGCGCTGCTCTACTCAGTTTTGTTGCTTATGATCTGAACTTGATGTAAGTCCATTTCGAAATTGCAATCAAGAGAAAACAAAATCAAGAAAGTGATTATTCCAGTGACAAATATACATAATATTTTGGGGTGGGGGGCAAGACCAAGGTTAAGTTATGTAATTTGGATAATAAATTAGTTATCTATACGCGATGTTTCACGTTTAGTTTTCAGTTTTTACGGCCAATTTCAGAGGGTAAATTACAACTAGATTATTTTAATATTGTTGTAACACGGAAACAAAGTGAATATCAAGTAAAGGAGAAAAAACAGGTCAAAAAAATTGTATATTATAAAGACTTATTTACTCAAGAACAATATTTACAGATTACAGAACAAACTCCAAGTTTCTTGGTGTACCATCTCAGTTTGCTAGAGATCCAATAGCAGTTTTTGGATGATTTTCAGGCTTCTGTCAGCTCCACTTTTCAAGTTTTGAACTCAACGTTTTCACATACGTTAATTTGTATTACACTGTCTAATTTCTGCTGCCCCTTATATACGCCCCTGGATTAATCTGTCAATTCTATAGTTGAACTGGTAGTTGATAGTTTCGTAGAAAGTACTTCTTCCATATAGCACTGATTATATGAGATATATTGCGGGATAAAAGTCAAAAAACTGTTACGAGTCTGTCCCATTTCCGGAAACTAATCGATGTAGTTGCTCTGGTGCCGGTACCAATGGCGTCAATTTGATTTTACCGATCGCGCAACACATATTTTTACTGATAATACT